AAAATCAAAAAATAAACCATCTTCAAATCAGTCAAGTTTAATTTTATATTAACAGTGTTTTTTTTTTCAGTTAAACAAAAATGCCATTTTAAAAGTTTTGTATRAATTGTTTAAAAGATAATATTTTTTTKAATTTTTGAAAAAGAATTTACAACTTGCCGTCAAATTAAAATTTTCCTATAGATTTCATAAAAAAGGCATACTCAATAATACTTTTCCCCAGTCCTCTGAGAGTGTGATTATAGAAGATTAAAATTGCGATTAAAAATTGTACTTACATTTTTATTTTTATTTTTAGCCAATTGTRCTTGTCACTTGGGGTAACAGACTGTACATGAATGACGTGGATACAAAACTAGCTATAGATTATATAAAGAAATATGCAAATCATGCTAAGGAAACCACAGCCAGGGATGGACAATATGATCATTTATTAATTGAACCGGCTGAATTAATTTCACCAGATGATGTAAATATTTGTCCAACCCCGCATAAACGTAAAAATAGAATATAATTTTATGTTACATTCGCATTACTATATAACGTCTTAAGATAATAAAGTACCTACTTTAGATTTGTTGAACTATTATTATAGTCCCACAAGTATACTGTTTAACGTGTATTTTGTTTAAAAATTGTATGTTAAATGTTATTTTATATTTAAACTAGTTTATCTTAAGGTAAAGGATCAAATAATTTTAACAAAAAAATTTAGTTTTAATTTTTATATTTAATTTTATTATTTGAAATAMATTTTTTTATTGACTTACCATATTATTTAGTTCCAAAAAAACATTAAACTGATACTAATTCTTCTATTCTTTTAATATTTAATGGTCTATATAAGAATTTTTAAGCTAATATTTCAAGTTTCAATTAGTTATTCAACCAAGGGGGAAAGTTGGTTATTACTTTATTAGTTATCAAAAAAAAAAAACATCTCGTGAGAAACTAACATTTAGTATTAGGTTAATACTCCCCAGATCTACATAGCTACATAAAACTATTAAAGTGTTGAAATTAGTATTGGTAGAGAATGTACTTGGTCATCTTTTGAGCATGATCACTGATCAGCACAGGCTAACCTTTACTAGTTGTACATATTTTTTTTTAATTTCAAATGGAAGCTTCAAATTTTGAAGTTTGAAATGAACTGGACTTTAATTATTTAGTTCAGTTCTCAAATCTTAATATGGGAAAAAATTTTAACTGTACTTAAATGACTTTAATAAAACGGTACCATGCATAGGGTTCAAAATTACAATTGGTAATTTATTTTAGTACTAACTYGGAACTACACCAAGATTTAAGGTGGATTCTAGTTTAAAAAATGTTTCTATAATATTAGTCTTAATTCCATAAAATGTTTATTTATTCTATTAATTTCAATTAGTTCTATAAAAAGGAAAAATATTGTAATTGTAAGACAGAATATAGTGGTGTGAATGAATGTAGGTCAAATATTTAGGCCTCCTTCCAATTATTTGACAGAATCATCAATGCATTTGAAACGCAAAGGAATATTGTCAACATCAATATTAAACAGATTGCCGATTGGCAAGCAATTGAAATATTTATAAAACATCTTTTAAAATTGGAATGCGATTACTAAAACTGAATTCATACTGATGTGTCAAAATAGCTTCAACAAATTTTACTGTCGAAAAAGAAAATTTTACTTGTTGAGTGAGATTACGTAATTTAGAGCGAAAAATCATTGTCGATCGCTGCAGGTAGCTGGCTGATTTGATTTTTAGTATTAACCTACAATTTATAATTTGATACACGCAGTAGTGCAGGAATATAAGTTGGAACAATTCATATTCGTTACTCAGCCCCGTCACATATGAATRATATCATCAATCACTGATTCATCTTTTGAATTCAAGGAGTAAAAACAGGCATCCTGCTTCCTGCATAACATTTTACCCAGTTTTAAACGCAAAATCCACAACCCGCTATTAAATTGACCCACTCTTATCTCTCACCCGTTCAAAAATTCAAAAAACATATCACACCCAGTTTCAAATGTGATACCCGAAATTCATAAAAAAATTTACTCTGTTTCTAATACGAAGTCCGTATATTTTYACCCATTTATATTCCTCTTATACTAACATAATTATGTGACACACTGACAATAATACAAATCTATCGCCTTGCTCGCTTTTCTAGAGGCTGAAACACATTAAAATTCAATGTTAGTAAACCGAAAATGATCTAATGTCATTCTGCGACAAAATTTACTAACTCATACAAATCTCTTTATATTGCGCTCTCGTCCGACCGATTCTTGAATATGGTTCAGTGGTTTGGGATCCGTATTGTAGTGATTTGTGTCGTCAACTTGAAGGCGACCTTTACTGTATAAAGCGATTATTTTAACAGAACACACCCATATTATAAATAATTACATTTAAATACCTATTAAATATTATCATTAACTATCTACTAATTATTTGTATCAAGGGACAAAAAGTATAAAGACGTTTCTTAAGACATATTACAATAAAAAATAGTTTTGAACAAAATATTTGATATTTTACTAACTTTACTATTTTTTGTCACCTACCAGAAGAAAATCGTAAAAACACCACTATAGCAGCCAATAGGTATAATACCTATATAATATAATATATATATATATTATATATTATATAATATAATACCTTACACACTTTCATACCTTTATAATAGTTATATACCTACCTCTATTTGTTTTTCATATACATAGAAATTCACAAAGGTGAGCAATTAAATGTAAAATCCTAAACTTGAAATAGTGAAGTTAATTACATATTAATAAATAATAAACATTTAACATATTWTATAATTAACTCATTTGAAAGGTGGTTTAATTTTTTCTTAATCACAACCCGCATCGCACATAAACCGTGATTGTAAGACTATTTGATTTTTTCAAATAAAAACTTATAGGGGGTAGCTGTACGTTTTTATTTCTTAATTTTTACTATTCGTTTTAATATTTCTTTCACTAAAAAAATAAAAACTAGTTATAGAAGACAAAAAAAATCGGACAAATAGGTACCACGGTGTAACCGTAACGCTCWGATGTACAGAAGTTAAGGTTAGGTTAGGTCACGCTGTAATGGATGTTTTTTAATTTTAATTTTATGATAAATCATTGCGTACAAAAAACACGATTATGAGCGGAGACTATATCTATATATACTACTAAGTATGATTATTTTTATTACTTATGTAGAACCTTGTATTCAATTTTAAAAATTTTTAATCATCTGAACCTAACCAATTTTATCAACAATTAAAAAATTTCAATCCTCTTTAAATTACTTAAAAAAATTTTATAAACATTATTATTGTTTTAATTTCAATAAAATGATCAAGCTTCTACGATTTGTAATCTTTGAGTTACATTGGAAAAAATTAATCGTTTGATGAGAAATTGAGATTTTATGCATGAATATTTAATAGTTCTTCTAAATTCAAATTTCATATGCTATATAATAATATATCTTTGGGATGACACTAAACTTTTTTATAATTCTAGTAAACAAATCTTAAATAGAAACATGTGTTTATTAAAACTGACATAAACTTCTTATCCTAAAATAATTTACCAATTTTCATGATTTTGATGAATTYATGATGACAGATCATATAACAAAAGAGTAAAAAATAAACATTAAAACTGTAAAATTTGYTCCGTATATAGTCTAAAATATTCAATACAATAATAATTATATTATGATATAATATTATCGAATTCAAAACTACTCATCTACTGGGAAAAAAAATTAAATATATTAAATGTAATAATATTTATAAATATTTGTTAAACATTTTCTAAAAATAGGCATTCATTGAAACTGACAAAACTGGAGTCTGGTAACGACACACGACGTGTAGTAGATAGTATGGTATCTATACTGCTGGTAATATTTTCACACGATTATAAATTATAGTAATATGTACCTAGCTATAGGTGCATTTTATTGTTAATAATTTAATATGAGGTATTTTAAGGGCTCGCAAAACCATAGATTATTCTAATGCTTAATACATATTATGTCTTTATTACTGTACTTACCATTATTATACATTAATAAGCACATAAAGTTTAAAAAAATCTATTCTTAAAAATGAATGATTATATATACATCATGCTGGAATTTACATTAGTTATATGTAATAACGTTTTATTCAGATAACTTATCTTAACAATTATTATTTAATACTGATGTTAATTGAGTTAGGTACTTCATGCTATTCATTGTTTATGTATGAATCATGGATACAATATTAAAAGCGTAATAATCTTATGGTGGGGGTGACATAAAGTTGTTACTGTTTGAAAACTCGTGTATAGTCAGTTTCGATTTTGTTAGCGCCGAGTGTACAGTGTCACAATAATGTGTTTATGTTTTTATATAGTACCTAGTTTAATACCTATATCTATACTGTAGTGTAATCTTTATATTGTTTAATATGTTTGAGCTGCAAAACTGAATAGTATTTATTTATTCCAATTATGATTAAAGATAGACTGAAAGAGTTACAAGCTGTGAGTAGTTTTTTTTTTATTACAATATTATTTTTCGATGATACGAATAAATTTAAACAATATGAAAAAAATAACATTACTATGTGTCTATGTACAAGAGCATTGTATTAAAATATTATATACTACGTATTATTTATGATAATATAAGAGCATATTACAGAAGATATTATATATATCTACTCATCTTATAAAATATGTGGGTACCCATAACCCATTTATACATATTTTCGTCATTAATTCATTATATAAATGGATAATATCTATAATGCTTTGTATTATCTAATTAGTAATTATTATTTAATGAGGTAATATAGTTTTTCTAAAAAAAAAAAACAGTTTAAACTAAATCCAGTAGCATATTGGTATTAAGCATCACACAAGTTATTTAATATATGTATTTTATAATAGTGGTATAATCCATATATTCGTATAGGTACTTAAGTGTACAGTCTTACTAATCAATGTACTGTACCCCATGAAATGTAAATTGTCAAAACTAAATTTAAGATATAAAATATAAATTATTGGTTGTTAAATTTAATCATATACCTAGTACTTCCGTAGTTACGTCCATAATTAATAAATTATTGCAAAAATAATAACGGCAGGTACATATAGATAACTATGTTGTAAAACTTACTTTTTACTCAAATATTCAGTTACAAAATCTTTCAATCGCTTAAGAAATATTTTAAGAAGTTTACTTCATTTAATTTCCCAAATCTCCATTATTATATTTCGATTAGTATTTGTCATTTACTCATATAATATTTAACTCGCAATATATTTATTGACATTTGATAAATCTATTATTTAATTGCCCATTGTATAACTAAATTAATATCAGTATTCAGATATATTCAGAACAAAGTTTAACCTTGGATTTTAAATTTTTGATTGAAACATACATGTAATTATTGTGACTTAATTGCACTTGTCTTATCTACTGTAGACAACTGAAACTATCTAGTATCTTTACATAATTAAAAATATTTAATTTAATGTTGTTAATTTATTGTAAGATGAAACTGAAAGATTTTAAATTAAAATTACATAAATTATGTCAAAACTGAAAAACACAAAAATAAATATCGTGGCTACGAAAAGTGCATCTTGAATAGGTAGGAAAAAAATCATTTTTAGGATAGTATTTTTGTTCTCATTGATTTTCAATTGATATTAACTATGTAAATATTTGTTTTGACAGGCCAAACAAAATACAATCTTCAAAATTCTAATTTGTTTTGTGTATAGAAAAAACGGCTAAATAGATATTAAATCTATACCCGCGATACAGAGTGCAAGTAGTGACCGTCCATAAAAGTTGATTATGTCGTAGGTAGGTACCTAATAGTATACCTATATTAATATATTATAATGAATGGACGATCCTCGTTGCAGTATGATGGGTTGTTTTGGATTAAAAACGAGACACGATTAAACAAAACGTGGGACATTATTTTTGTATATTATGCTCATTATAATATTATTTTGGTGTACCTACACATCATCAACCATGGTATAACGTATGTATGTACCTGCCTATGTAAATTGACTATAAATAAAAATTTAAATTTTCATGTAGATTGTAAATATTTTATATTATTATTTATACTATATATAATACGTATAGGTATATATATAATTATATTTTTTACCACAAACATTACATACACAATTGGTTTATTGTTGTGCCAACTGCAGTCCTGATCTATCTGTTGAAAATGGCACCAATTAATTTTCCCTAACACAATGACTTCAAGGCCTGCATATAGGTGAGTGCCGCTGTAGTTAATATTCGGTAGTGCGGAACCATAAGGAACATTATTTTTATCGTATTCATAGTATATAATATATATAATACTAATTCATAACGAATAAAAGGCCGTATTAGTCAAACACAAAATACTGGAAAAAAAAACGATTAGCCATATTATATCTGTTATAGTTATACACTTAAACTAAATAATTATATAATATTGTGTTTGTTTAGATCAATAAACGAAATTTTATGTAGAAGGACAGGACGGTACTCCGTCAGCGCTCAACAAAGTATAATATATTAAATTATTATATGTATATAAAGATGATAACATTGATGAAGTCTTAAATACTCAAAAAAAAAACACATCATTGTAAAATCAATACATTCATCACTTCGTTCACAATCTAAACCTCTGTTAATAGATATTTACATTATAATTTTAACTTAAACCTTAATTATCAGCGTATATAACGTATATTGTAGTTGATGCTGTAACAATAAAAAAAAACATAATATCNCCATCAACTCAATAAAAAATATTGAACTATACAGCTTAATTTAATCTTACATCATTGTAAATATCACTCTTGGTACATTATAATGTATACTTAATTAATATTTACATTATAATTTTAACTTAAACCTTAATTATCAGCGTATATAACGTATATTGTAGTTGATGCTGTAACAATAAAAAAAAACATAATATCGTTTGCATATTCGTGTTAATATAGTAGGTATAGATAATATTATATTTATGTACTCCAGTTATTAGTGTTAATGGACATCGATATAAAAGCGAGGGAAATATAATAAAATATATTACATAGGTACTTAAAGCCTAAAGGTACAATACGTACCTATTTATAATAATATAAATAATATAATAAATATTCTTATACATTTTACTACTCTTTATCCGTTGATGATGGCATACTTGTTTATCCGAGTGGACGTCAAAATTGTAGTATTGTCATTTTGTAAGTACATACTAACCTACTATACGTACTATAGCTTTAAGTTTAGATGACCAATTGTCAGGAAAACTTTATAAAAAAAAAAAAAAAACTATACATATATAATTGTGTATTATTATTATATACATTATATTTTTATTTTTATTTTTTATCATAGGTATTGTTATTTATCCATCATTAGATAGTTATGTAACCTTATAAAATACGCTCCATATATCACTTAAATGTATTCAACAACACAGTAATTTGGGCCAAACAGTTATAGATTTAACATGTCATTGAACTATTAAAAATATATAGGTATTATCTATATTATATATACCTATAGGTAAATTAAAACATTATTTATATTAATATCTATATAAATATATAATTATTATTTACAATATATATTATTAAGGTATCACGTACTGAATCTTCGTAATTTGTAAATGTATACAATATATATGATATTAGATGTATGATTTAATATACATTTAATTATAATAAATAGTAATGCAAGATAAGAAGGTCGTCTATAACCAGTGAACTCGTGTATAGTCATTATTCATTAAATAAAAAATAAAATCTCGTTAAACCATATTATAAATCATAGGCTGCTGATTTTTCAATTAAAAAAAACATTGTTTAATATCTAATTTTAATCTATCATAACCCATGTGTAGTTCACTAGAATACCAGATATTAGTATATTAGGTACTATATGGTATAAATCACTTAGCTATTATATTAAATTTATTTCAATTATGTCAAGATTAAATTAAAATGAAATAACAGTATTGGAATTTGGTTTTAATTATACTCATTATAGGAAGATACTTAAAACAACTGATAAATTCAAAATTGTATAGAAAAAAGATAATTTTTTAGTGATAAGTGATAATTGATTATGATAAACGAATAATGAAATACACGTTCAAATTTAAAACGTGTTGAATATTAAGTTAAAAAGCAGAGATTGTATGACAACGCATGTCGCTTATGATTTTTTTTATTTACATTTATCAGAGAATAAACTATCTATAAAATATTTTTTTATAAAAATATTAGGTATAAACAATGAACATACTAGAGAGCTAGCTTTACCCACGGCATCACTTTAAGGCTTGTTCGGCTTGTCGTTAAAAACAAAAAATTTATTAAATAATTTCCAAAATATTTATCATAATATTGCACTTAATTTAAATATTAACTATACTAAAATTAAAATTATACACTACCGTATTATTTAGTAATAATATAATAACATTAATAACTATCAATGTATTCTCATCAAGACATTAAATTTCTATAACTATTTTAGATTCTGAGTGGAATGATAAGTGTATCGTATCTAMCTGTTAATTTTTCAATAATGTTTAATTTTTATTTTTTTTGTAGCTATCACCAAAAAAAGTATATATATATTTTAAAGAACGGAAATATTATAAACGAAACATATTTTTGACAAACTTGTTTTTTTTTTTTTTGGTTGAACTCAAAAAACAAAAACTAATAATAAACTAGAACTTGTTACCGAATATTTATTATAATGACCATTTTCTGTACGCATGCACAATTCAATAACAATTTTCAAAATAAAATGATTCTCTATATAAGCTATTTATAGGAAACTGTCGTAAGAAATTTTAAATTTTGAATTATTTACAATCTTTATTCTATACAGACATACAATAAATACAATAAGAATAATGAGTAAATTTGATAATTAATAGTTATATTGACAGGAGGTCAACATTTATAGACAGGCGCTCAGCAGTGCCACTAGACTCGATTAACTTGAAAACTTGATATTGATAAGTTCCTCATATAATGTTGTTTTTAGTGTTGGTAATGAAAATAAAAGTTTAACTTAAACGTAAATCGTCAAATCAACATCAATTTTTATAACCGTCTGTCGTCTGAAGTTAGAATTTTAAGAAATTCATCAAAATCGCGAAMATTTGCAAATTATTTTGTAGTTAGAGGTTTATAAACAAATTTCTTTTTATGTCTAAGATTAGAAAATTATAGAGGTATAAAATTCCTTATAATCTTCTATCTATGTATATAAAGTATGAAACATGTTGCGGAAAAAGAACAATAAGAACAACTGAGGAAGTAAAAGATAATAATAAAAAAAAAAAAAACAAAAAAAAGTAGATAAAGGTAACAGAGCGAAGATGCCTCCCACTTCCCAGTGGATGTACTACAACAAAATAAAAACATGAATATTAAAATTGAGTTAGTTTGTCATTAGGTTTCTACACCATATGCGCTTTAGCCGTTTAGGAGGATTTCCAGGGATAGTCAAGGAAGAGATATCGTACATGAATGGGTTTCTGTGGTTTAAAATTAAAATACGGTTATGGAATCTTTTGTAGTGTGTTTTAGCCACGTCTGCAACAAAGGATATGGAGCGGTCGTGATGGAGTGTGTGATTGGAAAGTATAATATGGTGCTTTAGTGATTTGTCTTAGAGTTTTGGACTGAGACGTTTTTTTTAATTTGAATATAATATTTAATCTACAACGTTGTGGCTATATATTATGTATTTTATTGAATTTAGTGAGTGTGTTAAATATTCAAAACCAAATATTTTTTTTTTAATTGGAACTTTTATGGTATATAATAAACCTACTTTAAACATAAAGTCTTTAGTCTTTGAACTTAAAAAATGAAGACATTTTGTGTATTTAATCTTTTACTTTCTTTTTTAAAACCTACTTTAAACATAAATAAATTATTTATGAACTTGAACTTGGCTAAGAAAATATATATTATTATAAACTATACATTTACTCTAATAGTCTAATTTTTAACCAAGATGCTATTCCACACGTTAAATGCTAACCGTAAATTTGCTTTAATACACATTTGTAAGTCGGAGACAACAAATGACAATGTGATGTCCTCTTAAGGTACCTTTACAATATAAATGCATTTTAATAAACACCGATTTCAAAACTACTACCACTTCAACACAGACGCTTACGAAACATCAAATGAAACTGGTTTCGTTGTTATTACTCGCAGGGATGATAACAGTCTCCATAAAATAGCCCATTTTTTCAGCATATACACAGCAGGAAATTTTCGCCATACTCGAAGCTATATCAAATGAATTTACCTCTAACCACGATAAAGTCCTTATCTTAAACGACTCTATACGCGCAGTCACTTCAATCTTCGATACCTAACATACATACAAAATGCAAATTCACCCGAAGCATCCAAAACTTAATCTTCACAACCCACAAATCCATCAAACTTATAAGGATCCCATCACATATAGGCATCTCAGGCAATGGACTCTCTGACGATTTGGTAATGAAAGCAGCAAGATCTCTGGACACTAAAATATATCCACACGTAGGCGTAACATATACTAACATATACCATGATGTAACCCATGCACTCAGAATCGGTGGAAAAAAAACCAATCAAAATAATAATTTTAGACAAATAAAACCATCAATTAAAAAATGGCTGAACCCACCAATCAGGCTTACACGACTCGAAAAGACCATGGTCACCAGAGTACGTATTGGACATAATACCTACTAGACTTAGGACAAATTCTCATCTAATGTGTTAGAAGCCAGGTGCGAAACGTGCAACTGCAGTGAACTTACTGTTAAACACTTATTAACGCCCAATAAAATCAAACATAAACACCATATAACTCAGAAAATCATTCGGACCGGGAGAAGAAAAAAACCATAACTAACTTCATCCAGATCGCCGATCTCACAACGAGCATATAAGACAACGTATCAAAAATACCACATTACGTATAGTTATTAATATGTTAAATATAATTATAAATCATAAATTATGTAAAAAAAAAATACTCTTAACTTATAATGTAATTATAAAAGACATCTAAACTACTGCAGTAGGCTAATAAACATTGAATTAAAGCCTTAAATATAATAATAAAAATAAATAAATAGCATTTTATTTGAACCCGCAATTAGTGAAATATTCTAATAATATTTTATTTTTAGTCATAAAGTCAAGTTATGAATTATAAAGAAAAAAAATCTCTTAATTATATCTAGTTCTGTAGTCTGCATTACTTATACTGAATATTCAAATTAATATTTAAATCCATGTAAATTATTAACATAACTAGTAGAAACAATAATATTTATATATTTACTATAAATTCTTAGATTGTCTAGTTTTAAGATAATTTATTAATTATTTTATGAACGCCAATTATAAATTAAAAACGACATCTTAGTCCTTAGATACAAAAAAGACAGTGTTATTTTATAAATTACCTATATGCGCTAGGTATATTATGTATTAAAAAACATTTTATTGACTAGTGTTAATTAAAAATAATATGAAGACAGGTAAGTTTAATAGCTATTAATAATTTGTTGAACTATGCATTTAAAAATATGTATAAACGTTGAAATTATTAAATATAATATAATTTTTACCAAACTTCCGCTTTTGGGAGATGGACTACAGAAGAAGAAGAAGAATAAGAATATAATTTTTAGATAAAATAAGTTTTCCACAAGTAAAAATGGTTATTATGCACTATGATTTATAAACGACATACACATAATATGTTTATATATGTTTGTAAATTGTAGGTAATATATTTATATATTTCTGGGCCCCGAGCCATTATATTATGGTTAGGGCACTTGAATCTAAAATAATATCTCATTGGTGCTTTATAATATATTGGTTTTAAATAATAATCAYCTAATTCAGCTTGCCTACGTTGGCTTTTTAAGGATATTTTAATTTGCATGCATTTTATAATTGTAAAAATTCATGTTCACAACCTACATAAAAATTTAAAATATCATTAAATAGTTAACGTAGTGGCACAAGTAATGTTCTGTACTAGAGTCTAGAGTAATAGGATTTAATACTAGGGGAATTCAGTCTTATACTAAAATAACAAAATATATTCCACTAAATACAATATATATCGTATATTTATAGTTATCGTTTTTTCTCTGTAGATCGTAGAAGATGTATTTCCAAATCACGTCAATAGAATGGATTCCCGAAATAACATGAGAGGAGTGGACAATGTAGCTTTGGACATGCAATACTCAGAGTACAGTTACATGGAACATTTTTTCGATCAGGTACAATTTTAATTTTTAAGTCTAAAAATATATCTATTGTGGATTAATGGTACATAATTAATAATTATACCCGAGTTGGCTGCGTACGAGTTGATTCCCGTGTGATTAAGAGATACGTACGAGTTGATTAACGGATCATTATATATCTTTTTCAATATTTAGTAAGATATTTAGCCTATAACTCAAGAAACAYCATGAGGAGGTTTACTGACAAGTTTTTCAAAAATGTTGTTTTTTTTTTTGTTTTTTCATATTTTGAAAATTATTCAATTTTTATTTATTAATTATTTTTTGTATTACCTATATTATATTACATTTATTAAACAAATTATTAAAACATTTAGTAATTTGGTAAAAAAAATGTAACATCATTTAGTAATTTGATAAAAAAAAATATAAAAAAATTAGTAATTTAGTAAACATTTGTAACACATTGTTTTTATAAATTGGTATCTGGTAATGAGATTATACAACAATAGGGAATCAACTCATATTACCTACCTCTTAATGACTCGGGAATCAACTCGTACATCGGTAACTAATAATGACCCGGGAATTAATTAACTAATACATAAAATAGGTCTCGTAAATCAACTCACCTATCGCATACGAGTTCGGTATTAAAAAAGAAAAATTGTAAAACAATCGAAATTTGATTGATGATTATGACGTGATCGTTCTTATGGTTTGTGTAATAGAAAGTTAACCAAACCCAACACTGGTAACACCTATTATGACGATAAGTACCTATACTGTACCTATAGGTATTTATGCTTTAAATTATAATATATTATAATATGTTATATGAATTCTTCTTCTAATTTGGAAAAATAATATATATTTACAAGTTACAACGTGATGATGCTTTAATCGATTATAGATATAATTATATTATATTATGTTAATTGTTTTGTTTAATAAAACTGTAAATTGATACAATACAAATCTGAAATCATAATACTAAATCAATATTACAGATAGAACAGTGTCGGATAAAAATAAAACAAATTAAAGAGCACGTAGTGTTGATGAGGACGTTGCACGGAAAGTTACTACTTCTACCCAGGCAAGATGAAAGTATGATACAATTGTATATGCTATAATTTATTATTATTATTATTATTATATATAATGACAACTGTATAGCGCCTTTTACAATTAAAATTTATTATATAGATTAAAATATTGTCTTTATTAAATTAATTTTCAGATATGAAACGAGAAATAGATACAAAAACGGAAAATGTAAAAAAAATGGGTAAACAAGTCAGCACCACATTGAAAGGTAATAAGTTATAACAATATATAAACATAATATAATAATAACAATATTTTATTCGAATTGGGCGCAACAAATTTGTGCTCAAATAAATTAATTCTAATTAGGAATTTGAGAATTAAGTGCAATAGACACCGTATTTCAGATTTAAATATTTAATATATCTTGATATTTTCGGCGGAGTTATAACCGTTAATGGAATTGTATTGAAAGTTAAAAATATATATGTTATTTAACTTTTATAGGTATACGGAGTATAATACTTAACAATGTTTTAATTTGATTTAATAAAACCTATTTTAAAAAAAATTGTCAAAGAAACCAGATAATTCCATGTGTTTTATTCACGTTTAAAATTATTTTAAACTAAACTACTGAAATCTAAGGTATTAAAATAGGTGTAGAGTAATGAGTACCCATAAACTGTTATAAAAAGTCCAAAATAGTATGGTGCATTTTTTTTTTATCTAGATTATAAAGTGGACTTATCTGATTGTTAAACGCAATTTTTATATATAATAAGAAAGACATGCAAGTATTAAAAATAATATAAWATAATATTTGGTTTGAAATTAATTTTTACATATAGGTATTGTTATATAATTCGCACTTGGCACGTCTATTATCATCAAACAGTTTCGTAGATATTTCATTGAAATGACACGGCAAAAATAAACGCTCGATAATGTTTTTTTTTTCATCACATACACGTATATGTATATATTATACACACAGAATATAGACGAGGTAATATCCTTAATAAAAAAATCGTAAATGGTAATCTGTAGGCTGTCCAGAACGGATTCACGGGCATCAAGGTCTTGGACAACATTGGACTTCGGAAATGTCATAAATATACTATGTATATATAAAATAACAAAAATTATTCTTTAACATCGCCAAGGCCCTTCACTGGCGTTTCATTTAACGTTTTACCAGGCGTTTCGACTTATTATGATATAAATATTATTATTATTTTAAATGATTAAACGACACATAAACACATCACTGCTGAAGTAGGTATCACACACATCAGATGTACCTATTTACTATTTAATATAATACAAAAAAAAACGTACTTATATAGTTATATCTTATATAGCTGTAGTAGTAATATGAGTATAGATAACCAAATATTAATTCATATTTATATATTATAAAAAACATATATCAATGCTTGGTAAATTCAAAATGTGSTGTTCATTGTTTTCTAAAATACAAAACTACCAACTAGATTTCTACATTTCTAAATAATGTTTGTAGAATCATTTGAATAATTTGACCGAAATAAAATTATACCTAATACTAATCATGTCTTCTTTAAATCACTCATCATTGTTACTTATTGTTTTATGTGTAAACGGATTGTAATATATTTTTAATAAAAAAAAAAAAAAAAAGCCTAATACTAATCATAAAAGTAATTGCTGAATCACTACTTTGTGTCTGAATTTAGTATTAATCTAATCCATTGTTATACATAAAAATAAAAATAATCATTATTTAGTTGTGCGACAGGAAATAATAATATAGTGACAAACTGACAAAGGAAAATCGTAAAAATCTAAATTAAAATATGCGGTAAAATCTGTTGATAAAATAAATATGTAAAACTATTCTCCGAAACTATGTCTTGTATTCATTCCAAATTTCGAGCGGATTAAAATCGTCCTGCACGTGGACACACGAAGTTAATAAATCAATAATATATTAGATGTCTGCGTTAAAATGTAATGGGTAAAAATTGTATGAAAGTTATATTTGCTTTATAAAAATCAATATAATAGTATCTATACGCTATACCCACGAAACTTGAAGAAACCCGGACGTGTGTAGTCGTACTCGTCGAGGCGTTTAAAATATTTGATTTGGTTTCTAGGTCTAGAGAAACAGATCAACCAGGAAGAAGACGAGTCTTCCGGTGACAATAACGTACAAGTGAGCGCTGCATTGCGGATACGAAAAACCCAACACGCCACCACAATACACATGTTAGTCGAAGCTCTGGCTGAATTCAACGCCGAGCAGATCATCTACAAAGAAAAATGCGAGGAACGCATGCAGAAAGTCGTGTGCATAGGTTAGTAATTCAAAATTGTTTTTAATGATTTGATTTGTAGCTAGTTACCTAATCCTTCATCGATTCAATTTTACATGTATAATATGTTATTGTTGACTGTTGACTGTTGTGTATTTTTTGCTGCAGCGAAAGCCGAAATATCCAACGATCAGTTCGACGAGCTAGTCAGCCAGGGCAACTATTCAGCCGTGTTCAACGGCAACGTAAGAGCTATTCTTTGATATTCGCATGTTCTTTTTGTCTTGTAAAACACAAAATATATTTATTATTCATATTGTGCTCGTGTCCGTGTGTGTAAATAAATATATTATAAGTTTATGATTCCAGATAATTGCCGAAACGTTGGAAGCCAGGAGCACGTTACAAGAAGTCCAAGACAGGCACTTGGAACTGCTGAAACTGGAGAAGAGCATCCAAGAGCTCCGGGACATGTTTGTCGAGATGGCCATGCTGGTCGAAAAGCAAGTATGACGATCATATAGACGATATAAATAATATTATAATTATATACTCGTATAGCAGGTGGATACTTCATCACTATTTTCTGATTTTCCCTATGTATAAGATGATATAACCCAAGTCCTGCAGTGGTGGATAAATGCATACCATGCATAGGTACATAAATTTCGCTTTAGATCCCATCGTGTCCCATAACTTGTCTATCATGTGGCGTAATTATTGGGGTGGATATCAAGATATACCCCCCCCACAGACTTTTTTTTTAAAAACAACCATAATTTTATTAAACTCCCGTAAGCATTTGGCTTTAAAGGGTTTCAAGATTTTAAAATAAGAACTCATGGACGTTATTGTCGTATATTATAGGTGAGATTTGTTTTTATTTTATTATTTTTACTAGTTTAAAAAACTGCGATATACCTCAAMAATTACAATATATGACAAGAAAATTGTGTGGTTCATATTTAAAAGATAACTTTGAAAACAATTATTATACCAATATACCATTTACCTCATTTAATTTATAATAACAAATTAATATATTACCATGCGATCTATGAAATTTAATGGTAAAGGGGGGTATATTATAGTATAAACTTAAATGCCAMCCCAGAGCCAATTCCAAATTACGCCACTGTGTCTATCCGTCTGTATTTGTCACACGTTAAATTTCATATTATATTTTTATTATTGTCATAATAATTCGTCAACCTATTGTAATATACGATGATAACTACACTTATCTGGTATTTTAGTAGGTACATTATTCCAGAACCACGGACGTGTCCAAAACGTTTAAGTTACAAAATATGTGGTGATACATTTAAACAGGCTATTGTCTATTATTGTTTAATTATCTTCTATATCTGATTTTCAATACCAACAAGTTTCTGTCTTTCTGGTATAGGTACACGTGCGTACCTACTGCGCTGCAATATATTCAATTGTGTGCCGACGTGCTGTACGGTTTTTTCGATAAAACTTTGTAAACAAAGCAGAAACAAACACATTTTGGTACATATCTAAAGTTATGCATTTAATACACACAATATATCATAATCACCGTGTCAATTACCGTTTTAAAATTTTTAATGACCGGTATTTAGTAAGAAGTACGTCTTAACTGTTTATTGTTCGTTGTTATTATTAGCTCAGAAGCTCAGTATATTTCCCTTTGCAGTAAATCAATTTTTATGTATTATTGAAATAATAAGATTATTTATATTTAATATTATTATTACAACTGACTATATATATAACTAAATAGTAAATATAATATTGTTTGATCCATCGCAGTACTAAAATTGGTATATTCAATATTTTTGTATAGATCTAAATAATTATTCCAAATGCTCATATCGTGTATTCGCGTTTTCACGAGTCTATTACAATATATTCTATTGTACTATTATAAATATGGATTTCACGTTGCTATAAACAAGAATTTTAGAAATTCATTAAAATCTATTCACGTGTAATTATCGATTGGCCCGTGCATTTCATAAGAACTAATGAAAACATTAAAAAGTAAAATTGCGATCGTAGTATAACCGTTTTGTGGCGTGAATATTAATATTGAATATATTGAATTTTTATATCATTCATTAATATTAATATTCACCAAGTAGGTATAATTCGTATCAATAGATTTTCATTTTTTTAAGACATAATTTTGTATTTGTTGTATATACGTCCTAGATTATACAATTATAGTTAAAATTATGTTTAAAAAAATATCAAATTTAGACTTTGATCTTTAATAATATACTTTAAAATTAAAGTTACAGATAGGTATAGTAAATTGTATGTTTATTCCAATGTGGATGTTTATTTATCATGTTGCAATATATGCTATTCCAGATTTAATAGAGGGTGATGAGAATTTTTTGTTTTTTAATTTCATATTGTATAACTACGTTATCATCACTAACTGTGCACACAATTATATGTTGTTTTCAAAAATATTATAAATATTAAAATTTTTACTAATTCTTACAGGGTGACATAATTAATAGTATAGAACAACACGTTTTAAGGGCTGGAGAAGCTGCTGAAAATGCCAAAGTAGAAACCAAAAAAGCAGTAATATACTCTAGTAAAGCGAGAGTGGTACGAATGATAATATTATTATATTGTTTAAGGACACGTATTTATACGTTAAAAAAACATGGACAAGGGTCTACAATATAAATTTGATTTTAAAGCCATTTAATGATTTGTTGCAGAAAAAAATCGTCTTGATGATGATTTGCACCTGTGTGGTCTTATGCGTGGTAGCGTGGCTGTACTCGAGTTTTTTTGGAAACGATGAAACCACCGAAACCTGACATTTCTATAACTTATTTTTGTATAATATATTTTAACTGTTAGGTAAAATGCTGTGATATTTGTGCAAATATATATAAATATATTATTGTTAATGTATATTTATATATATATATAAATATATATATATGTATGTAGAATGTAGATACATTACATTTACATCAGTGCTATTATTTACTAAAATAATTTTTAGGAAAAATGAATGTTTTAATTACTTAATTGACTATATATTATGATGTAATCTTAAATTAGGTGCCTTCGTACGTCGTACCTACTACCTATTGAAATGATTGATATTTTCAAATGAATCGTTTTAAATGTTAAAATAAATAGATCAACAAATAAACTTGATTATAAATTATAATTTATACCCATGTACTCGAAGTCTTGAGAGTAATTTTATAAAATTATTCGAGTGTGTGTGTCAAGAATTTAAAGATATAAGACGTTTTGGTTTGTACTTTATTTTATACAATAATAAATAATTATGATAGCTGATATGCATATGATTTGTATATAATTGCATGCATAGTATAATGGTAATTGAAATTGATATAATCACTTTACTTCTACAACAGCTAGCTGTACCTGCGATTATACATTTTATGCTATTATATAGTCTGGACTTACGGTATTCACTATTCAGATATGGGCAGTGAGTAGCCAAATCCTCCTACATTAGTAAAATCTGAWCATTCAATCCAAACGTCTCCGTCGAATAACAAATAAACCCAGTACTGGCCGTACTATATGTCTAAAACATGTTACTATTGTCTATTTCTATCCCAACAGTACGATATATTTTACTAACACCTATACATTCCAATCTTCACAGTAAACGCAATCACCTAATCTCAGAATATTTTCTGTTTCCTCTATTTCAGGTCTCCTAAAAGGCTCCTAAAATGGTGTCTAAACACTCTAAAACATAACTAACTCCCACGTTTCATCCTTTATTTACCTAAATAGGATTCATCTACAGTCTTATATGCATAGTTAATTAGACATTAGTTTTATTTTAAATTAGTCTTTATTCTTTAACWTCAATTGAGCAACATTATTGTAATAAATACCTACAGCTTGTACGATTCTTGATTAAAAAATTAAAAAAATTATAGATGAATAAATGTATAACTATTATAAGGATAAAGTTATGGTAATAATTCTAGGTATAAATGGAGCTTATACAATTTTACAGCCTTAATAGATATAGATTACATTATTCATACAGTTGTACCTATATCATAAACATAAATTTGAGAGCTTATTATAGCCCCCAAATATTTCCTAACTTAACCTCTTAATTATAATAAATTATATTAAATAGATGTACGTYATTGATATTTCAAGCTAATAATAAGCTATAATAATAATTATTATTATAAGTATACATTTCATATAAATTATATGATCATAATAGTAGGCGCCGAAAATGCCTACGACATAGTTTAATGGTTAACTGGTTATTTGATAATTAAATAGACAATGAAAATCGGTAGTTCTTAACTTTCAAGTAGTTATATATAGACATGTAGTATTTATCTACTATATATTTCAATACCTGTACAGTGATATGCGTCCAAGTTAGTAAATGTAGATTTTTAGTAAAATGTGTTTCAAGTTTTCAACTGCATTATTAATGATAAATTATTACACTCTTATATTAAGGTTTGTGATTTCGGTAGCTACTCTACACTTTACAGTTTACATACTATATAATGTATTATGTCTAATATATTATTACGATATTTATAATGTATTAATGCACTACAAAGGTAAATATCTCTGTTTAATATTATAAAAGGTATTATAATAGGTAAACGTATACACATCTCGATCTCAACATTTCTCTGTTTACAAATATATGGATCTAATCCATAGACCATAGGTGTCATTTTATTTTTTAAGGAGGGGCAAAAATGTCCGCTCTAAATTTGTATCGGGTCAAATTGTTGGTGCCGACCAATTTTAGCAAGGCTGAGATGGCGGCCTAGGCCCCAGAGGTCATATGATTGTAAATCGTTTTCATTTTTAAGGAACAAACCACTTTATAAAAGAATATTACAACAATTACACTTATCAGTTCCTTACGATACGCCATCACGATTCATGTATAATTGTATAAATATTCCATATAAGAGCTTAATTGCTTATGACTTTATGATTGTTTCTCTTATATTTTATTATATTATAAGAAATAAGAGTTATATAATACATATGGTATATATTTATAAATTATAAACAGGGCTAGAATTTTATAGCACTAAAAATAAATGAAATATGTGCTATAATATAATCTAAAAAAATTTAAAATAAGCGCTATAATAGAACCTAAAAACATGAAAAATAG